CTGCGAGGTGTGGGAGGATGTTTCCGCTCTTTTCCTTGCGGGCCGCGCTCAGAGGCAGGGGGCCCGGGGTTGGCCGATGCCCACCCGCGGCTCACGGCCTCGACCCGGTTCCATCGCCCCGAGCACTTCCCACAGCGGGAGGCGAGCCCCTGGCCCACGCACGGCCTGCTACGGCCAGGTCAGGAGGGAGGCAGGGCCGGAGTGGGTCGTGGAGGAGAAGTTGGTACGGCCCGGGGACAAAACAGCAGTGAAGAGGAGGAGACAGGTCGTCGCACCATCGCTCCTTCATTAAGACACTTCTTGGCCAGGTGCGGGGGCTCACACCTGTAATGCCAGCGCTTTGGGAGGCCGAGGTGGGAGGATTGCTTGAGCCCAGGAGTTCGAGACCAACCTGGACATCATAGCAAGACCTTGTCTCTATCAAAAAGAAAACATATATTTTTTTGAGTTGGCGTCTCACTCTTACCGCCCAGGCTGGAGGGCAGTGGCACACTCACAGCCACCGCAGCCTCGACCTGCTGGGCTTAGGTGATCCTTCCGCCTCAACCTTCCAAGTAGCTGGAACTACAGATGCATGCCACCATGCCTGGCTGGCTTGTGTGTGTGTGTGTGTGAGAGAGATTTATTGTAGAGACGAGGTCTCACCAAGTTGCCCGGGCTGGTCTCGAACCCCTGGGCTCAGGCAATCCTTTCACCTCAGTCTCCTAAAGTGCTGGGATGACAGGCTGAGCCACTGCGCCCAGCCAAAAATAATTTTTTTAAAAGACATTTCCAAGCCCAGCAGGTAGAGGCTGTGGTGGCTATAAGCCTGTCACTGCCTTCCAGCCTGGGTGACAGAGTGAGAGACTCTGAAAGGAGAAACTTCTATAGAAACCTAAAATAAACTTATTTAGCATAGTCTCTTTGCCTCGGCGTAGCCATTGTTGCTTAGACTTTACCCCTGACGTGCTCCAAATCTAGCACAGGTTAGACGTAGATAGATAAATTTCCAATAGGCATGTTTTAGGGAGCGTTCAGACATTCACCCCCTCAGCAAATCTCTATCAGATGCGAGACCAGGACTGTGCAACTTTTCAATTCATGATTTAGCATAATAATCTCTAGTAAACTTTCAGGCTTCTTGTCCAGGGGAAGATCAAAGCTCACCCCTTGGCTGGAAGAAGCCATGCGAATGATAATAAGACCAAAAAATAAAAGACGTTTCTTGGAGATAAAGTCATCGCACAAGGATGTGACCCTGAGCAGCCCGACACCAGCCTCTGGGTGCCCAGCTATTAAGCCTCATTCACCACAGAACTCAGCCACAGTCCGACGCTGCTGGTGGCTGGCCCAAGGCGCCTTGTGGTACGAAGGAGGAGTGGTTAGTTCTGCCTCAGTGGTTCAGAGAAGGCTTCACACAGGAGGCATCCCCCCCACACACACGCACACGCACAAGCTCGTCTCTTAGTACACAGGACAGGTTATGGCTGTGCGGGGTAGCCTTGGGTTAGGTCAGACCGGGGGTCTGCAGTCTGGTGCTGCACTAAGATGCAAAGAACTGCACAGAAGTTGGACTGGAAAATAAAGTTTATTTAGAAAGTAAATTAGAGCCGGGCTCGGTGGCTCAGCCTGTAATCCCGCGCTTTGGGAGGCCGAGATGAGTGGATTGCCTGAGCCCGCAGGTTCGAGACCCGCCTG